ACATAAAAATATTATTAATTTAACCACTATTGTCACTCATAAATTAATTTAATAAGTTATTTTCCTAGGTTCACCTAACTAGATTAGGTTAATTAAGAGTTCACCATAACAATAACAAGTTCAAGCTGCTAAGTTAAGTAGATACTTTATAATTAAGTAAAAACAGAATACATTATTATAAATATCCAAATATAATGAAGCATGAAAATAATAAAGTTAACATAATAAAATATTCAATTTTTGTTTATTATTCAATTCAAAGTTGTTTTTTTAATATTATGAATCAATTTTAGTGCTCTCTTAATTTTTGCTTGGTGAAGATCTTTCGGAAATAAATTATTGGTATTTTTTTAGAGCTTAAACAAGAATTTTTAACTTAAATCATAAATCAATATCCATCATTTTTATTTTTTAATAATTTTTAAGAAAATTGTGTTGTTCTTTATTCTTTTAATTATATATTTGATTCTATTTTGTTGTACATCATAAATTTATGTAAAAGTATTATAATAGTTAGCTTTCTACCCTTTCTTGAAACAAAAGAAATATGTCAATTCCAACTAATGAAAATCATATTTATTAAATATTTATAAACTGATTATATAGAGATATTCATTTTTTTCAGAAACTATTTATTTGATTTAATAAGGAGTTAATAATATTAATTGTAAACATTAATTAATGATTAGTGGTATCACTTTTCATATAACATATTACAGAATCATAAAATCTCCTTATAATAATTTTTCCCATAAATATGTTTTATTTTTAAATTAATTTGATGTTATTTAATTAATTTATTTTCTAATAAATATACCATTCGACCAGGATCAATCGATATTATACTACATTTCAAAAGCCATATCCTCAGAGATTATCAGTTTAGAATGAATATTAATTACTTGGTTTTGTATGTCTCTATTTGGCACCAAAATGACATAGGTAAAAAATAAATTGTATATCAAATTAGACTTTCATTCAGTCCTCTCAAAATCAAGAAGTAACATTCAGAATAAAACATAAGAATACTAACTTAGAATAAAACACAAAACTTGATTAATTTTCTAAATTGGTAACTAAAGAGATAAATATTTCAGAATTCATTGAACTATGAATTTATCTGAATTGGTCAATTAATAATGAATGGATTACCTAATTACCCTTATGTTGAAAAATATATTTTCTTAAGAAAAATGAGAGAGAATCATTCGTTGAATTGCTGAGCTTACATCAAAAATGTTTGTTTTAACAGTAACATATTAAGAATTGATATGCATGCAGATAGAGGGGTAATGATTTTATAAAGTATAATTTCAGACTAAATTTATTCTAAATGGGCTTAGTATTGGGTATGATAAAAGGTGGAGATTTTAATTGAATGAAGATATGTATGAAATGATATTTTTAATTATAATCAAGATTTGTATAAGTGATTATTAATGTGAGCTTTTTAATTTACAATTATAAACTTATTAAATCTTACACAAATTTAAACAGCCAATATTGGAAAAATACTTTATTATTGATATAAATGATAATTACTAATAACTTCATTTCTAGAAGAAATCATATGATGAATAATTCTTAAATTTATTATCCCAAACTACTAAATATTAGCCATTATTGGTCATCGTTCCATAAAACTCTGTTGTTAAAACCTTAATGATGCAACAATATTAAATGTATCATCATTTAATTGTCTAATCAAATATACATGATGTTTGAGACTTAACAATAAAACATTATTGGAAATAATGTACTATCATCACATTCATTATTCTTGATTAAAGCAATAGTTTTGTTTGAATTCTGTTTAAAAACTCCATTCAACAATTCAAATACCAAAATATTATTCATTGTTTTTATTTACCCAAAGAAATTGTTTATCATTTATGAAATGGATTTTCTATCCATCTTATAACATTTATTTATTGATAATGAAATTGAAATATGTAATTGACGATAAATTTACACCTCTTCTTATATTTTTTATCATATATAAATAAAATAAATATGTGTGAATAAATAAAGTGCTTCAGCTATTCCATTATATATTTAAACTCCAATTTTCCTAATATTCCTTCCTCCCATAGAATGAATTCTCCTTAACCACTTGATGCCAAGACGGTTTCTGATTAATTAAAACTTAGTGGGTTGACTCTATATATATGTTAATCTAAGGAGTGCAGAAAAGTCAAAACATTCTTACTAAAGTCTACTTTCCATATAATTGTTTATGATCCATTCCTCCTGAAATAAGTTGATCCTCCTATTTATTTAACAATAAACAGTTGATACTATGATAATGTTATTTGAATGGTTATGAGCAATTCCAATCATTTCGATTAATTTATTACTAACATATAATTTAGCTAATGTTATCACCAGAAATGAAATTATTTGTTTTTTTGCTATGTATTAAACACTCAATTGGATTCTTTATAAGAATTAGATAATTAAAAGGTTCCTTATTCAAATTTTCGTATTTTAATCTCACATGCATCCCTTTAGGATTAATGATCAATTAAATTATATTCAGCTTATTTATACATTATCAATTATTCTCCTAATACCTTCTATTAATTGCGAACTTCAATCATTCCCTATTATGTCTAAAAGTAATTTCTTAGTTTCTTAAATCAATATTTATCAAAAAAGAATTATATTAATTATTGAAAATTATCAAATTAATTAATGATAATAATCGATGTGGGTATCTTTAAATATGTTGTTCTTCGTCTCTTTTCATTCAAACTCTAATGATTTCCCATTGATTATCCAAACTTCCAATATTATCCTACTTCAGAAGTCGTAGCATCTCAATCTCTCTATTGTCCAATTTCCATTCCTATTTTCCAATCTATTAAATCTCATCATTTTATTCTGTTTTATTGTCGCATCTCCTAGAAATTCCTATACTGATCAATATTTGATTAGAATCTTCGAATTACGTATATTCACTTTGGTCTGGATTGAAATTTCTTTTTTTTAATCTGACCCTTTATTTCTTGGACAATAAAATTGACTTGTATCATTTATCCAAAAAGTTGAGCCAACAATATCATTTATTTTATAATGACATCATTTCAATTGTTCTCCATGGTTAAATCCTAAAATATTAAAGATATGAGACCACATGGCGAACAGTATATATTTAAAAACAGGAATAAGGATACAAATAAGTCAAAATGTCATGTATAATTATAAATTTAGTAAAGTATTCTCAAAATTCAGAAATCTCATTCAAAATTTTGTTGGACTTTCAGCAAACTTTTTAGTCAAATATGAATTCCAAGAATAAAGTTTCTCAGTTAATTCTAGAACCTAAGGTTTTTTTCGTATTCTTTATGAATATTAGAATGAGTAGGCTCTCTACGAATTCTTTGTTGTTAATGGAGACGTAAAAATAGTCTTAATCTCAGTGTCCTCTTCTTCAGGCACTGGAGATATATCTCCAAAACTTTGCAGTGTTGATAATTGAGACTGCTCCTATTTCTACATATCAATCTATAATNATTGATTGAACACCAACTTCAATACGAGTACATCCATATAATAACATATCACTTAAATGACTTTTCTGACAAAAATCAGGTCGTGTTTCTATAGTTATACCTATACACTTAGATCTACTCTCCTCAGAGAATTGGACTGATTCTTTGACTGTTTATGAACGATGGCCACTTAATGCATCATGTAAATTTCTAATAAAATAATCTCTATATTCTTAATCCAACGACATGAATGTTCCACCCATTATAATGTATTCCACCTTATCACAATCATGACCCAGTTATTTTAACTAAGCTATTCGATCTCTTGCTTGAATGTATGGATTATATCTGGCTCTAATTGCTCTCATACTTGTAGGTTCATATCCTGTATAACTTTAAGTAGAATATTCAAAATCACTGTCAGGACCCTAAAATCATTATATAAATGCTCTTACTCCTGGACAATAAATACAAATGTTTCCTGTAACAGCTATATGTGGACATCTATGCGGTTTAGCCATAACAGCAACCACAGCTATACCAGATGCTGTTCTCACTGGTTTTGCTTTCAAAATTGGTATCAATTTATCCTTATAGTCATCTGGAATGGCTGACAAGATCTCAACTATCTTAGGTGCTCCTGAGATCTTATTCTTTTTTGAAAACTCTGCTTTAATTTGTGATAAATTAATCTTCTGATTGCTATCATATTATTTAATCAATTCGGCGACTATTTCTGAAATGCATTTCAATTTGTCCACTGTAGAATCTTATTATTTTTTTCCCTTCTTCTCCTTCTACTCCATTATAATATTAAAAAAGAATTATATTAATTATTGAAAATTATCAAATTAATTAATGATAATAATCAATGTGAGTATCTTTAAATATGTTGTTCTTCGTCTCTTTTCATTCAAACTCAAATGATATCCCATTGATTATTCAAACTTCCAATATTATCCTACTTCAGAAGTCGTAGCATCTCAATCTCTCTATTGTCCAATTTCCATTCCTATTTTCCAATCTAGTAAATCTCATCTTTTTTATCTGTTTTATTGTCGCATCTCCTAGAAATTCCTATACTGATCAATATTTGATTAGAATCTTCGAATTACGTATATTCACTTTGGTCTGGATTGAAATTTCTTTTTTTTAATCTGACCATTGTTTAAACCATTAAAACATTAAATTTCAGTCTTTTTACTTTCTTCCTTTATTTCTTGGACAATAAAATTGACTTGTATCATTTATCCAAAAAGTTGAGCCAACAATATCATTTATTTTATAATGACATCATTTCAATTGTTCTCCATGGTCAAATCCTAAAATATTAAAGATATGAGACCACATGGTGAACAGTTTATATTTAAAAACAGAAATAAGGATAAAAATAAGTCAAAATGTCATGTATAATTATAAATTTAGGAAAGTATTCTCAAAATTCAGAAATCTCATTCAAAATTTTGTTGAACTTTCAGCAAACTTTTTAGTTAAATATGAATACCAAGAATACAGTTTCTCAGTTAATTCTAGAACCTAAGGTTTTTTCGTATTCTTTATGAATATTAGAATGAGTAGGCTCTCTAAGAATTCTTTGATGTTAATGGAGACGTAAAAATAGTCTTAATCTCAGTGTCCTCTTCTTCAGGCACTGGAGATATATCTCCAAAACTTTGCAGTGTTGATAATTGAGACTGCTCCTATTTCTACATATCAATCCATAATTAATTAAAATATAATAATATTAATGATATATTAAATCTTGATTCTATTAATAATACCATTTACCGACCAAAAACCTAAGCACTAACAGAATCTATTTATTTTAAGTATATCCGAAAATGTTCAGTTAATATATTAAATTCTCTTTTATTTTTAAGATTCTCTATTAAATAACACTAATTTTATCAGCACGCAAATTCATTACAATCCATAACTGTGTAAGACAAATTTCAAAAACTTATACTAATAGTTTATTAAAAAATCAAAAATTTATTTAATCAAAAAATTAATATATATTCTGCTAATACCATTGAGAATCTATTTCTAAAAAATTCATTTTTCATTATAAAATCTATAAGTAACATTTTATTATCCAATTATTATGATATGATTAATCCATTCATCTACGTTTCCAATTAATTAATCTAATAATTAAATAACATTAGATCTTAATAAATAAAGATCTTTTTAGAGTTCTTCAGTTAATTTTATCCTAATCATGATGAATGTCTCAATATTTTCTTTCCTCCTCTATTTTTGATATTCTATATATTCTACATGACTTTTTAAAAACTCATTAACTGAACTTTTGAATCAAAATTTTCCAAGCATTCAGAACATAAAAATCTTTCATTCCTCTTTAATTTTTCATCACAAATAATCATAAGGACAGGTGGTTTATGTTTCAAAGAGCGATGAAGGTCCTCTTCTTTTTCTATCATTTGAGATTAAATCATTTTTTCACTAAATATTAAAATAAATTTGCTAAATTAATTAAGCAGAACAAAATATCTCAAATTAAATTCTATTTAGAAAATCTACACTAAATCATCTAGTTAGGATACTTTAATCCAATTATCTTCACTAATAAATCAAATTCTTTAAAAAAAGAAAATAGAACGAATACAATCTCAAGTTGCGAAATTATTGCCAGAGATTGGATGTAATCAAAGAATCCTGTATATGTAATCTAATGAATTTACATTTGAGCTTTATAATCTAATTTCTGACTGGATAAACTTTATTAAAATCCTTTTTTTAACAATCGAAAATTAAACGAAAAGCCAGTTTAATCGACGTTTTAGCCCAAGTATCTTAATTACCGATACATTAAAGCTGAAATGGAAAGTCATAAGCAAATTAAGTTTGGTTAAAAAAAAGGGTCTTAAAGTAATCAACGCAGAAGCAAAGAATATAGAACCAGTTCACTGTAATTAGATAAAATATTTAATAAATGATTTGAAAAAGCCAATATTAATAGACACCAAAGATGTAAATAAGCCACAAGGAAATCATGTTGAAATTATATATATTTCAATATTCCAATCTTCTTTTATTAGTGGATGAAAGCAAATGTAAATTGGATTAATAGTGATATCAAGATATGATCCAGTTGGAAATGAGCTTCAGGATCTTATCGTCTTCTAGATTTATTAATTGGACAAATTCTCTGAAGTTGATAACTATAATTCTACTTTAATTACTATTTATTTTGGATATTAAACCTTATTGCAAATGCATTATTAAAGATAAGAATCAAAATTTGAATAGGATAGAATGTATCAATGATAAAGTTAGTTCCTGAGAAAGAATTATTTTTATCTATATCCAGGGATTATCCTATAAGTATAATTTCCAAACAAGTATCCAAATGTTTTAAGAACTTTTCAATAGTTTTATGTTTTGTCCAAAACACTATATCAAAAGTGTAGGTTAGAAATGTTATTAAATCTCTTTAATTAAATTATCTAAGTATATATTAAAAAGTTGAAAGCCTTACACGACTCCATGACTAAACCAGAGTTTAGTATTTTTTTAGTTAGGATACTGGTATATGTATTCTAATGAGGTTTTTCTAGGAAATCAGAGTATATATGCTAATTTATTTTAATTTTAGTCCATCATAATTGTATTAAATTAGATATTTATTAATATCTATTGACAATTCTTAGAAATTCAGGTAAATTAGGATCAACAAATAAATAAAATCAAAATTTAGTTATTTATAATTTGTATTTTACGAATATCTTTGAGTATAAAGTAAAATTTTACATTTTTTATCAGCGGCTATAGTTAAGATATGGGATAACATGAATAAATTTTGTAATAGTTTAAAGAGAAAAGTGAGATCAAGACTTTTCTAAAACATCTTATAATCAATCATTATGGAAAATGTTGGAATATTATAATAAATTATTAATTAGAATTTTGAAGAAATTCTTAAAGTACTTAAATGCATTGATATAATTGAATCTAATAGAATTATGGAGTTTAGTTTGAAATTTAATTCCTCTTGATAATATGAATAAGAGTTACACTTAAAGTCTTTAAATATTAATACACATATTTCTTTTAAGAAAGATCATAAAGTAGATCATCTCACTAAACCATGTTGCAAAATTCTAGTTTAAATAATATTTTTTCTAAATTTTCTGTTAATTTGGGTTGTTTAGATAAAAAATTTATCAAAATCTTCGAAAATGATGATTCAAATTACTTTACGCAAACTCTCCTTATTTCTATATCAATCAATGAAAGGTTTTTATGCTGATTGAAAGTTGTCAATAATGATATTTGTATTAAATTTTAATGTGTTGTATCATTATTAATCAAGAGCGATAAATAATACAATAATTATCTAAAAGTTAAAAAGTTAATCAGTGAAAAAGCTAGACAAAAGTTATTATTGATCTATCAAAGTAAATCACAGAAAATTAAGAAGGTTATCAAATTTTTGAAAACATCTATTTTTCACTCATTTTATATTCTTCAACAAAAATAGCACTGATAATTGATAATTTTTCATAATTTATTACTTTATATGTCTAATGCTTTTGGCATAAAAATCAATATCTTTGCAAATCTTGAGTAAAATATCATAATCTTTAACAACATCATTCTTCTTTACTTTCATTTGGCAAACAATATAAAATATTTCAATTATATAATTTTAGATAGATTAATGTGCTTTATACTATTTATAAGTATGGTTGTAGGCAATATTAGATATCTTATACTTGTTTTCTAAAATTAATTCTTATCTTATCTTTCTTTGTATAACACCTATCTTTTATCTTCTAAATTCTCTGGCCTGGTTAAACAATCGAATTTTTAATTATCTTACTAATTATTATCATTTGTTTCAATATATCGAATTTATATATTTAATGTTATATAACTTTAAGAATTAAGATACACTGGGCTAATTGTCATGATATCAAAGAGTTCAAAAACAGCTCAGGTTTTTTATGCGTTTAATAACTACATTCAAAATCAATACTCTTTGATAGATCTTTTTGTAAAAATTAATTGTGAAAAAACAAAATTTTTCACCAAAAAAAATAAATCCTAATTTTTAGCATTAAAGAACAATTTTTTAATACCCTAAATCAGCTAATATTGACTTAAATTTAATGTGAAATATTGTTTTAGTCAGGGTTATGAAGGAATTAATAATTTTTTATAACCTATATTTAATGTTTAATCAATTGGAATTTAATAAATAATTACAAACTCCTTCACTGATTTTGTATTTCCTTTCCAACAAACTCCCAAATCTCTTTTGTTTTAAAGGTGTATTTAAAGTGATCTGAATTATCTCTAAAATTCTATAGCCAATTCAGATAAGACATAAGACCTCAAAGGCAAAACGGCCCTTTGAAAGTACTCAAATCCTCAAGAAATTTATTTTAAGATTAAATTTTACTTATTAAATGAGTTGAAGAAATCAAGATCGATGAAGTCGTTTGAGAATCCCTTTTTATTTAGTTTCTTCTACTGTTTAATTAATCTTATGAATTCTATAGAATCACATCTTATTTGGTTATTTAATTATCGTGTTTAATAAGATGAGCATCCTATTGATGATCAATTTAATGATTGATCAAATGACTTATCTCTTATACCTCTCCTTAACCATCCAAAATTTGCAATTACATTGATTCTGGCCTCAAAGCAAAAGTTAAAATATAAAGATTTCATAAAAAATTTCAAAGTTTATATTGATAGATTGATATCGTAATTTGTAGCTTTGGGAATTCAGTTTAAAATTCTGCTAGATTTAAATTTATCGAATTTGATGATGAACCATTTCTATAAACTAATTTTACTATTTTTTATAATTTTGATATCTTCTTTTGATAAACTTATTGTAAGATCACTGATATTATTAAGTTTGTTCCCTCTCTAATTCTTAGTTATCCTTTCTCAAATCTTATGTTAATAGAGAAGCTCTCTTCTTGAAAGTTTACTATTTTCCTTTCATAACTAATTTAGTTTGTTTCCTGGCTTTTTTTTGTTATTGTTTAAAATAAGCTTGCTTAATCCAGTACTACTTTAATTTAGTGATGAAGATTAGAGCTTTTAAATTCTAAAATCGTTCATTCTATCTTTATTTGTCATCTTTTATCCAAAAGTAAAGCATTATTAATTAATATTATTATGAAACCCAACGAAGGGTTAACATTCATACAAAATAGTAGAATATTCTACTTACTACCTAACTTATTTTAAAATATATTTTTCTAAATTAAATGAAATCAAAATCGTTNGTTTAATAACTACATTCAAAATCAATACTCTTTGATAGATCTTTTTGTAAAAATTAATTGTGAAAAAACAAAATTTTTCACCAAAAAAAATAAATCCTAATTTTTAGCATTAAAGAACAATTTTTTAATACCCTAAATCAGCTAATATTGACTTAAATTTAATGTGAAATATTGTTTTAGTCAGGGTTATGAAGGAATTAATAATTTTTTATAACCTATATTTAATGTTTAATCAATTGGAATTTAATAAATAATTACAAACTCCTTCACTGATTTTGTATTTCCTTTCCAACAAACTCCCAAATCTCTTTTGTTTTAAAGGTGTATTTAAAGTGATCTGAATTATCTCTAAAATTCTATAGCCAATTCAGATAAGACATAAGACCTCAAAGGCAAAACGGCCCTTTGAAAGTACTCAAATCCTCAAGAAATTTATTTTAAGATTAAATTTTACTTATTAAATGAGTTGAAGAAATCAAGATCGATGAAGTCGTTTGAGAATCCCTTTTTATTTAGTTTCTTCTACTGTTTAATTAATCTTATGAATTCTATAGAATCACATCTTATTTGGTTATTTAATTATCGTGTTTAATAAGATGAGCATCCTATTGATGATCAATTTAATGATTGATCAAATGACTTATCTCTTATACCTCTCCTTAACCATCCAAAATTTGCAATTACATTGATTCTGGCCTCAAAGCAAAAGTTAAAATATAAAGATTTCATAAAAAATTTCAAAGTTTATATTGATAGATTGATATCGTAATTTGTAGCTTTGGGAATTCAGTTTAAAATTCTGCTAGATTTAAATTTATCGAATTTGATGATGAACCATTTCTATAAACTAATTTTACTATTTTTTATAATTTTGATATCTTCTTTTGATAAACTTATTGTAAGATCACTGATATTATTAAGTTTGTTCCCTCTCTAATTCTTAGTTATCCTTTCTCAAATCTTATGTTAATAGAGAAGCTCTCTTCTTGAAAGTTTACTATTTTCCTTTCATAACTAATTTAGTTTGTTTCCTGGCTTTTTTTTGTTATTGTTTAAAATAAGCTTGCTTAATCCAGTACTACTTTAATTTAGTGATGAAGATTAGAGCTTTTAAATTCTAAAATCGTTCATTCTATCTTTATTTGTCATCTTTTATCCAAAAGTAAAGCATTATTAATTAATATTAT